AAAAACTGCGGGGAACTCTGCAAAAACGCATCTTCGCACGGGCAGCCCGTGCGCTGGCCAATTATTTTCTAACGATTAACGGAAATAAGAGGGAACTATTTGGAATATAGCCACAAACTGCAACATTTTCTCAAATACCATATGAAATAATTTATTAAAAAAAGTATTCTTCTACACGATACATTCAAATACATTCAAGCACTTTACAATGACAAGTGTACTAAAAACACAGTAACGAAAAGGATATCTCTTGTTCAGCTGCAAAAAACAGCTGATTTGGAATATGAGTTAAACAGTTTGCACTTCACTTTCCAAGGGACAAAGCCCATCGAGCGACAAGCGCCAAAGTTTTTCTCTAAATAACCACTCAAATTTCTTGTCCTTTCTTAGTATCCGTCAAACAAATAATACATTAGCTTAGGTCGAAAACATAATTGTAATTAAGAGGATTTAAAAAAGATATTTAAGGAAACAAGTCTTCTCCTTCCCCTATTAACAGAGAGTCAAAACTCATGAATGATCCGAATGAGAAATCCCAAACTTTCCTCGAACCTTCCATGCATTTCGTCCCTCCCAGATTGGTTCGGAATTCTCTCAAAGCATCAGCTGAACAGTTCGTGTTTGGAGAACTAAACTGACAGTTAACTGAAGTAAATCATGATAAAAAAGAATTAAAAGAGATAAGCGATATTTAAAAACAGTTTTTCGTATCATAAACAAAGCAGCTACTTTTTCTTTCCGCCTCTTTCTTTGATCTGCAGCTGCACTATGGCGTCAGTATTCATATTGTAATACGCCAAAGTGCAGGCGTCTTTCAGGAACAATCCCTAAAAAAATTAATATAACTTTCGTAGATACTTGTAACTTTCGTAAAACGACAAACACAGTGTGTCATGGGTCCACAAACTGTGTTAAGAATTTATTTCGAGTCACAAATGAAGCCCCTCCTGTCAGTAATAGGATCCAAGAGGAAATCGAACTGCTCGTCTTCACCACTGTTCAATCGCTCGACTTGCCGTTTTTATCACGATGGTGCCAAGTTCTGCGCTCCGGTAACGCACTAAGAAGACTTCATTTTTTCCGGGTACATCTGCTACTCTATCAGCACAAAACTTTCTTATTCCTGCTGGCTTATCAAATCTGTGGCATCCTGAACAAAGCAATTATTTTAATTTTACAAGCAAGTGCCTCTGGGGTGCGAAGCATGCTAATCTTTTATGAATGGTATTATTATATGATGATACGAAACAACTGAGCGACTTACATCATAAAGCAGTTTTTGCTTGGAACCAGGCAGGCCAGTCTCGTCCTGCACAAAATTCTTTAGTGTGCCGATCTAAAATCATTTTAGAAAAGTCAGAAACCTTATGAAAAAAAAAAAAGTCGGTTTTTGTTCAATTAAGCCAAAACATTTGTTAAAAAC